TATGTTCATGTTAATGTGTTCAATGTGTTCATGTGTTCAAAGTGTTAATGTGTTGATGTGTTCAATGTGTTAATGTGTTCATGTGTTCATGTGTTCAACGTGTTCGTGTTCAATGTGTTCATGTGTTCAATGTGTTCATGTGTTCAATGTGTTCATGTGTTCAATGTGTTCGTGTTCAATGTGTTTAAGTGTTCAATGTGTTCATGTGTTCACTGCGTTCAATGTGTTCATGTAATCATGTGTTCAATGTGTTCATGTGTTCAATGCGTTCATGTGTTTCCATGCCCCTCTTTATGTCTCCAAAATACAGATTCTGGTTTTAATGAATCTCAGTTTTGCAAATGCTAAATTAGCGATTTGGAAAAGCCAGATATAAACATAAACTTGTTGGAGTGGGCTGGACTGATGGTCGCAGCTTATCTGAGGGTCCAACACGCATTTTATAAACTGACCAATAATCTGAATGGTTCCAGAGATGTGTGGGCTGTCAGGCTCTGTGGGGCCGAATCTTTAGAAAGGTAGATGGTTTTTTACATTTTGTGTGATTTGTGTATGAAATATGAATGTTTGATTAATTTATTCTGAAACAGGTTTTAAACAACATTAATTACATTGATCAGAATGTCCCATAAATAAAGTTTTTTTTTTTATCGAATCGGAATCGATTCACAGCCACTGTGGAAGGAGAGTCTTCTTCTTCTTCTTCACAGCGTTCTGACTCTGATAACAAGAAAAATGATTAAAGAATATAAAAGAATTATGAAATAAAAACATACATATATATATTAATAAAATAAAAATAAAAATAAATAAATAAATTAAAATAATAATAATTCACTCCTCTGGCCGTCAGAATAAAAGTGCATCTTAAAGATTTGACCCAGAAATGAATAATCAGTTTAAGAAGACTAATATGAATATTGTAAAATACACAGAGAGCAAAGCTACAGGTGAAGAGACAGTCTGATGATTAAACAATGACACTCAGTCTCTCTGTGTTCACAGACTGATGAAATATAAACATAAATATAAATATATTACAGAACATGAAGCAGACGGGTATGAAGCTTTTATTGTGTTGTTATTGCTTAAGTTGTGATTCGTTCCAACAGAGAAAATAAAAACAGGAGACACAGGAAGTTCAGTCAGGATCAACATGTAATAAATAAATACAAATAAAAGTATGATCAGCAATAAACATGATTTGAGTTTTATTTGGTGTCCTGACGGCTGAGGGAAACAAACTGACTCTGAGTCTGCAGCGTCTGTCACATGGCCACGCCTCAAGAGTTGGTTTTATTATTAGCATCATTATTATTTTTTTTATTATTAGTATTATTGTCATTATTATTATTGTTTTTATAATTATGATTATTATAACTTCATTTTTCCGTAGTGGAGTTACTGTTGGCTCTGATGCATGAACTGGAGCCGACAGCAGAGGGCGCTGAATGACTCAGTTTCTTCATTAATTAAAACAATCATTAGGTTGATTCAATCAATAATTCCATGTCTTAACTAACATAAAGCACCACTGACTTTTGATCAAATCAAAATATATTTTCCATGTCAAATACTGGTGTTAATACAGTCACTCTCAGGCTGTTCCAGATATTTATTCAATGTATTTACAGCTTTTTCTTTAAGTCATATAAATGTTTTATTTTGATCATATTTTTTTCCTTTTGAATATTTGTAATAAGTGTTAAATCGTTTTTGTTCTTTTAATTCCAAATAAGATCAATCAGTGATTACAACTAATAATCAAACAGCCCATTAATCAATTAAATGACTTACTCAATCACTTCATGAAATACTTCCATAAACAATCATAAATCATGATTTCATTTCATTCATCCACACCTTGAAGTATCTCCACTGTCAATAAATAACATCTTAAAATCACCTCAGAAATCGACCACGTCACGAAATTATGTGAATGAAATGAAAATAATGTGTCGACACACAGCACTGTCTTAAACTAGATGAAGAATGAATGAATGAATGAATGAATGAATGAATAGCAGGTCCTGCCACCTGTGTGACAACGCGGCTCGTGCGCTACATGACTACTTAATTTTTGGGAAGCTGTAAATCGTAGTTATTTGTGCTGGTGTCAAACATCATCGTCGACGCTCACAGATTTGTTCAGACCTGATTCTCTGAGCAGAGACAAACAAAGATCAGTCACGTGCTCGTGACTGACTGACTGACTGATTCCATCAGACCAGGCCAGCGTCTCTCTCTCTACACCTACAACAGCAGAAGCTTCGGTCGCCACACTGACTGAATTCATGAGCTCACCGCTGTCTTGATTTGTTCTTGATTGTTTTTTAATTTCTGCCTTAACATCAATATTTCTTCTTCCACATTATTTTTGTTTTTATTTCTATTATTTATTTTATCAGTATTTTTTTGTTATTCATTCTTATTTTTGTTTTCCTCATTGTTATTGTTTTTGTGATTATAATGGTCAGCTCTTATTTATTATTATTGTTGTTCTTGTTTTCATCTCACATATTCATTCATGTATTTTCCCAGATGTTGTTGTCACATCATCACTAGCCCCCCCCCCCCCCCCCCCCCCCCCCCCCCCCCCCCCCCCCCCCCCCCCCCCCCCCCCCCCCCCCCCCCCCCCCCCCCCCCCCCCCCCGAGCCGTGTTCCCCCCCCCCCCCCCCCCCCCCCCCGGTTCTGAAAGAATCCTGAAGAACAAGTCCAGCTCCAGATGACTGAGGATGCTGCATCAAATAATAAAATCAGAATGAACTGTTTTCTTTTGATAATGTGACTAAATAGTCATTGTGGTGCTCCATGGTCACAAATTGTTCAAATCTGACAGTTTGTTTTTTCTTTCTCGTCTTTCTAAAACTCGCTGTCGTCCCCCTCAGGTTCAGGACTCTCCGCCGTCCTGTTGTTAGGTTCTCTGGTCTCCTTCCAATCATCAATACTGACTTCAATCTCAGCTACAACAATGTCTCTGATCCTGCCATCAGTGTCAGACTGTAAATCTGGATCTGGATCTGGGTTCCTGTCTGGTTCTGGTCCTCCACAGTCTTCTCCGCCATGGCGCTGTGAGGACTGGCGGCCAACACACCGATGGTTCCTGAGCTGATAAACCCAGGTGAATTTCAGATCGCAGTCAGAGCAGCTGAACGGTTTCTCTCCGGTGTGAATCCTGGTGTGCATCTGTAAGTGCCCGCTCCTGGTGAAGGTCTTCTTACAGACAGAGCAGCTGAATGGTTTATCTTCTGTGTGGACTCTCATGTGTGTCTGTAACCTGTCACGCTGTCTGAAGGACTTCCCACAGACACTGCAGCTGAATCGTTTCTCTCCGGTGTGGACGCCCATGTGAAGCTGTAAACTTCCCTTCTGTGTGAAAGACTTCTGACACACAGAGCAGCTGTAGGGCTTCTCTCCTGTGTGAGTCCTCATGTGCGTCTGTAAACTTCCTCTCTGTGTAAACGATTTCTCACACACTGAGCAGGTGAATGGTTTCTCTCCTGTGTGGGTTCTCATGTGTGTCTCTAAGTATCCACTTCCTGTGAAGGATTTCTGGCACACGGAGCAGCTGAAGAGTTTCTCTCCCGTGTGGATCCTCATGTGTGTCTGTAAATATCCGCTCCGTGTGAACGACTTCTTACAGACAGAGCAGCTGAATAGTTTCTCTCCAGTGTGCGTTTTCATGTGCGTCTGTAGATAACCACTTCGTGTGAAAGATTTCTCACACTGAGAGCAACTGAATAGTTTCTCTCCTGAGTGCACCGTCATGTGGATCTTCATATTAGTCTTGTTGTTGAACCTTTTCCCACACTCAGGGCAGCTGAATGGTTTCTCCCCTGTGTGAGTTTTCATGTGCGTCTTCAGACCCGCCTTAAGGCCAAATCTTTTCCCACACTCGGAGCAGCTGAATGGTTTCAGGCCTGTGTGACTGGTTGAGTGTCTCTTCAGATCCACCTTGTTGCCAAACGCTTTCCCGCACTCGGAGCAGCTGAAGGGTTTCTCTCCGGTGTGGATTCTCATGTGCGTCTGCAGATGTGCGCCAACGGTGAAGGACTTCGTGCAGACGGAACAGCTGAACGGTTTCTCTCCTGTGTGAGTTCTCATGTGGATCTTGAGATGTGTCCTGCGGCCAAATGTTTTCCCACACTCGGAGCAGATGAATGGTTTCTCACCAGGTCTACGTCTGGAATCAGTTTTCAGGGAGTTTAAACCCGACTGAGGTTCTCTGGTCTCGTCCAGGTCATCAAGACTGACTTCAATCTCGGCTACGATTGAGTCTTCATCACTGTCATCAGTCTCAGCTTCAGAAGACTCTCTGGGCACTGGTAATATGCCATCTTTGGGCACTGGTCCTGGTCCTGCTGGTCCTCCACAGTGGTGTCCCTCAGACTGAGGTTTCTCTTCATCATCTTCACTCTTCACAGCGACAGGAGTGAATGGGAACTTGGTGATATCAGCCTCCTCCAGCCCTTGAAGCTGCTCTCCCTCCTGACTGCTCCACAGTTCCTCCTCTTCCTCTTTAATGTGTGGGGGCTCTGGGTCCTCCTGGTCCACACTGGAGCTCCACTCCTGCTGCTCCTCTTTAACCACGATCATTTTGTGTCGTTGGTTGGTGGAGCTGAAATACAGGAAAACAATTATTAATGTTTAATCGCACATTTTAACATCAATAGTTTAATGACACATGACGAACTCCATCAGCATCAATTTTAATAATCAAACATGATTCATCAAAGGAATTATTAGCACTCCAGCACCGATCGCAGGCAGTCACCAAGGCCCTCTCAAAACTGAAGAAATGATTAGGGACTAGACCTGGTAGGTACATGTAATACTTCAAAACGTACAAAAACCCAACAGGAAGACGGCCATTTTGAATTTTATGTGGAATTTTAGTGCATTAGGCCCGTTTCCACTGAAGAAGTTCCTGGTACTATTTAAGGGGCAGGAACTACTACAGGAACGTCCTCTCGCTCGGCCCTCTCAACCGCTGTGTCTCCACTGAGAGAGCGGAGTAGGAGGAGGGTTCCTGTAAAGTTACAGGCTCTGGATGTGATGTAATCGTTGCGTGACCATTTTGACCGGGGCGACGTAGGGACGTTGTTAGCTGTTAGCCCTTAGCGGTGTCTGTAATAACTCAGTAAATGGCCCGTGAAAAAAATATTTTTTTTTCCAGCGGATGTCTTAGTTACAACATGATTGAGCTAACTGGAGTAGTTTCATGTCGTATCCGACAACGGGAGGCTTTTAACAGATGCTGCTGTTAGCTGTCCCTGTCAGCTGCAGCCACTGATGCTTTCTAGACATCGTGATTTCCCAAAACTGAATAAATACCACACATAGCAACACAAAACTGCTTTGCTAGCTGAATCATGTTGTAACTAAGATATCCGCTAGAAAATATATTTTTTTCACGGGCCATTTAGTGAGTTTTTTTTACATGTCGGCGGAAGCTATATGAACGAGCTAATCCTCGTCTGCTGAGTTTTAAAAATGCCGGCTATTTTGTAGCTTTCTGTTGACGTCACATCCCTCCTTGAGTATATCCAGTCAGCACCAAGTAAACCCCAAGCCCCAGCCAGGAGTCTTTCGGGGCCGTTCTGAGTACCTACTCCGAGGCAGGGACTTGTTTAGCCCCTGTAAAAGTTCCGGAACTCTGTCCTTCAGGGGTGGTTCCTGCGGTGGAGACACGCACCAACGGCCCCGGCCCCGTAAAATTACCCCGAAGTTTCTGCGGTGGAAACGGGCCTATTTTTTTACCATTTCAAGGGGTCGTACTTTGATGAACTCCTCATTCACATTTGATCCAATCGACTTCAAATTTTGCCTTGAATATCTTTAGACCTTGGACATGCAAAGTTGTTAAAAGTTTGAGTTTTCGTCGAACTGTGTGACCGTGACGAGGCATCGGTTTTTAACTCAAGCACACACATGATCCAACCCGCACCCTACTCAGTCTCCCTCT